TAACCTATTTAATTCTTTATCTCTACCTCTACTTATTTACTAGGGATCTAAAAAGGCTATTAAGATAACCCTAAATAATAATAAGCTTATTATTAACTTTATTATTACTTACCCTAACTACTTTAAGAAGCTATCTTATAAGAATATATAGGCTTTAAGTTAAGCTAATACTATATTAAACTTAAGATTTAAGGGTAAAGTTATAGTAAAGTAAGTCCTTATTAAGAAGCTTAAATATATTAACCTTAATAAAAAGGGTTAGCCTATTAGTAGGTAAGAGGGGGATATTATTATATTTACTATTACTAAGGAGATAGACTTAACTACTTATTTAACTCTTAATTATTTATATAAAATTCTTTACTTTATATACTATATAAATATCTTTATTAGCTAAGCTATTAAGTAGGCTTTTCTATAGATTCTAACTTATAGTAAGTTCTTTAAGTTATTATGTCTATTTACCCTAAATTATAATTATTATTATAAGGTTAATTTTAATATTAATATAATAGAATACTATAAGCTATTAATTTTATAAGATACTATATAGAAAGCTAATAGCTAAGTCTAGCTAGAGGAGCCTTCTATTATATCTTAGCTATAATAGGGTCTCTTATAGATTTATGTTAAGTAACTTAACTAAGTTATTAATAATAATAACTCTAAGTATATTAAAATATATAAATAGGCTAAAGAGTATATTATAATAGCTCTTTTAGAGCACTTAAATAACTATACTTAGAGCTCTATTTAGTCCTATATAGCTAATATCTTTAATTAATAGGCTAGTAACCTTAATAATACTAAGTTACTTACCTATTACTTTATTAAGTAGGTATATATTATACTTAGGGCTAAGTCTCTTTAGTATATTATTTAAGAGATTAACTTAAATACTAAGTAATCTAAAGTTAAATATAAAAAGTAGCTTATTATCTTAAATAATAACTAAGTTATATTCTTTAACCTATATAACTCTATAATATATAAGATAATATTTACCTCTATTAATTATACCCTATTCTAATATAAAGCCTAGCCTTAAGAGATAAATAAAAAGTATATTAAGATACTTATTACTACTCTAGCTAGTAGTAATATTATTTAGGCCTTTAAGGCTCCTCTATCCCCCCTACCTAGCTACTATCCCTCTATTACTAATACTTTAGGTATAACGTGGTTAATAAGCGAGCTGGCCGGATAAGCGAGCTAGCCACCTAACTATAACTATAGCATATTTATAATAGATATATAATACCTATAAAGTTAATTAAATTAAAACTAATTGAGGTCCTCTTCTTTAGATATTTCTTTAGCGAATTGATATGTTTATGCATTATGACTGGTGTTCCTATAGACGCTATATCGCTGTTGGCCCGTCTCCGTCCTTGGTTGGCGACCACTACTCCAGCGCGTTTCCTCCTCAATCTGAGCTGTAGCCTCTCTCTGCGATTGAAGATCCTCTGCCTCAGCTATAGTAAGACTTCCTCCTTATCTAAGGCGTGTTTTCTTAGCCCTCTGGCGTCTACTAAGTAGGTTATTCTCCTCTTAAAGGATCTAGACCTTAGACCTTAATAAAGCAATCTGGTGTATGAATCTGCACGCCCCCTTTAATAGATGCTCTATAGCTTTAATAATTAAAGTTAGTGAGCTATTTTGATGGCGGGAGATTCTCCTCTTAATGAGTTTAGACTGAGAAGATGCTTCTATTGGGTTATTTGGCGTCTAAGAAGTCTATGTGGGGGGTGTTATTGGGAGGGACCCTGGAGGTGTTGGAGTGTGTAACTTGACATTAAGCTTTAATAGTATACTTTCTGCACTAAGAGGGATAAGCCTAGCCCCTCTGAAACCTCCCTAGATGTTTTTAACTATGAGGGCTTACGTAAAAGCCTTATGAAACGTAGGGAAGAAGTCTTCCTTTATAATATAGGTATTACCCCAGCGCATCTTATCCTCAATTTATCAACTATATGCCTTCTTTAGTGGTCTAAAACACCTAACGTCTAAGGGCTAAAGTAAGTAAGAGGAATAAGCTAGCATATAAAGTGTAATAATATCGTTTTCCTTATAATATATCTTAAAGTTAGTAGTATGGTGACTTTTATGCCTATTAACGATGAGGAGGCAATATCTACTACTTACACACAGTTTTATATGCTAATTAAAGTGCTAGAGCCAATCTAGGCCTCTTTTGTTTGTTGTCCATCCGTTTTTAGACGTTATGATAACCCAGTTGTGTGGGAGACCTATTTCTATATACCAGGTGGAGAGGTGATATTGCCCCAAAATAATGATATATAGCGGAACGCTATAGCCCGACGAACTAATGGCCTGAATAACTATAACCCATTCATAATTGCTAGGCTGCATCATTTTCGTGTTTAAACGCCTCTTAGCGCTTATCACAACTATTCCAGACGTAATCTAGCCTATTATAAACCTAGTCTCATTAAAGTTATAGATATCTAAGTCTATAATGCTATATTTTGCGATTGTGTTTACTATAAGCTGAAACCATACGTTTATTACGTCTAGGTCTTTATATTAGGCCCTCTTATAGTCATACTTATAAAAAAAGCGCGTCTAGAGCTGTGGTTGTCGCTTAATAAAGTTTGAGGCCTAACGCTTCCCAATAGGGGGCGCGTCGCAGTTAGTAAGTAGTTAATTAGCTATATCTTCTATACCACTAATATAGGGAGGAAATAATTAGGAATCTAGGTTAAGAATATACTTAACTAGCTTCTCTTCTTTTAGTATAGTTAAATTCTATAAGTTAGGCATTATATTACATTATAGTAGGGTTCCCTTTATTTACGCGCTAAGTATTAAATAGGGGACTAAATAGATCTTTATAGTAGCTTAGACGCTAAGATTTGGGTCTTTTTGGATAGCCTAGAGGGCTAAGTTTAATCTATTTTTACTATTTAGTGACTGCATTATTTAGTTATAGTAGTGTGAGAGTTAGAAGGTAGGAGATAGGTTAGGCGCGGTTGGGTGGCCAGCTCGCTTATCCGGCCAGCTCGCTTATCAACCACGTTAAATAGTCCTATTATTACTATATAGGATAAGAGGTATTCTCTTACTACTTATAATAACTCTAATAATAATATATTAGCTATAACTTAATTACTCCTACTATTTAAGCTTATAACTAGTTATTATAGTTCTATCTTTAGTAATATAGATGCCTTATATTAACTTTAAGAAGTAGTTAATATAAATATTAATCTTATTAATAAGGAGAACTATATAGTCTCTAGCTTATTACTAACTAAATATACTATAATAATATAGTATAATCCTATTATTAAGGAGATAGTTATTAAAAGCTACTTTATTATTTATATTTTATTTAATAAATCTTTATTATTTAGTAATAATAGTCTAAAAGAGCCTATAGATTTAAAGCTAAACCCTAACTATCTTAATTATAATCTAAAGGACTTAAGAAACCTTAAAGGTATCCCCTATATTCTTTATTTAAATAGACTTATTATCCCAAAGGAAGCTACTTTACTTATAGCTTAAATAATAATAAGGTTTATAATATAACTTTAGCTTAATATAGATATAATAACTAAATTTAATATTATAATATATTATATTTTAATAATATATATATAGCTTAAAAGATTATACTTAAAGAGAAGTTTAGCTTTAACTTTAATAAGCTAATTAGGGTTAAAAACTATAATAATAGGAACTATAAATATAATATAGATATAATAATATTATATAGCTAAAGTATAATAATTATATAGAGCCTTATAAATAGATTTAACTAAGAGTTAGTAGAGAATAGCCTAAAGATATAATAATCCTTAATTAAAAATATAAAGGCTTACTAACTTATTAAAGCCTAAATTAGTACTATTATTATCCCTATTAGTACTACTATTAATATTAATATTAATACTTAAGACGTTACTATACTTAACCTCTATTTTAACTACTCTAAAAGCCTAAAAGAGGCTACTTAGATAGCTTTAAAGTATATACTTAATAATACTAATAGTAATACTAAAAAGAAGAAGATAAAGATAAAAAAGATTAATACTTCTATATCTTAAGCATTTTAAAGCTATTTAACTAGCTATAGTAGGGTATAGAGTAAATAGAATCCCCCTATACCTATATATACTATATCTTATATAACTTATACCTAAATAGCCTCTTATATAAGTAAGGATAAGCCTATTTCCTAAAGCAATATAAGTAATATAGAGAATATTGATATAATATTAGGAACTCCTACTCCTATCTTAAGCTTAAAGCGCTATTATACCTATATAGGCTTTAGAGCTTAATTTTATAGAGGATATTAGAGGATATTAGAAGATATTAGAGGATATAGAATAAAGGCTAGATAGTTATAGTTTATACTTCTAGCTAGCTAAGTTACCTTTAAGTTAGTACTTTTACTTTATAATATAAATAGTTATACTAATATAGATACACTATAATAATACTCTAGATAAGGTTTTATTAGTTCCCTCTCTTATTAAGTAAATATTAAGGCTAAATTAAAAAATATTATACTTATATTTAATATCTAATTATATACTATTATCCTATACTTTTACTAAGTTATTATATAATAACTTCTATTAGCTAACTAAATAGTATACTATTTAGTAGATAGTACCCTATTAGCTAAGCCTAGCTTAAGGAGGCCTAAGTAGCTATTAATCCTTCCTCTATAATTGCCTCTTTCTACTATAGTAACGCTATAGTAAGTATAAGATAACTCTTATTAGCTAAATTAACTTCTTCCTTACTAGTTATAATATAATATACTAATATAGTATTAAGGTCTTATATAGTATTAAAATAGTATATATATTATGAAATTTTACTATATTATTATATATTAATACTATTAATTAGTATAATTATATAATATTATTATAGAGTATAATAAATTAGTATAATAGCATTATAACTAGCTCCCCTATATTCCTACTAATGTGAGCTCTCTAAGATCTCTAGCTGAGACCTTAATTGCAATCCTGGTTGACGCCGTCGCTCAGTTGACCGCGGACGGCACCGGGAACAGCCAGGCTGGAGTGGACATCGGTGAAGAACTCAGACGGGTTCTCCTCAATTTGTCGGACGGCGAATCCTTCTCCGTTGTCCGTCTGGGTGCCGGTGGCGTTGACGCCGGTGCGGAAGGGGCCGGACAAGCATCCGACGCTGCGACGGACATTTGTGGAACCCTCGACAGCGACTGGGTTCGGGAATGCGATACTGATAATACATATTAGACACATCTGGAAATTAAGGTTTTAAGACTTACCGAGGAGGACCTGCACGACCTTTCTGGCCTTGGTGAATGTGGGTGGCCGTCAGCGCAGGAGACTGGTAGTCGCCTTGGAAGTTGACAAGGGTGATGTTGTAGCAGATGACATCTTCCCAGGAGTTGATGCCGTAGCTGAAGTAACCGATGGCACCAGCCAGGCCGCCGGTGGCAGTGTTGTTGTTATCAACCACTTGGTCTGGGGTTGCAACAACGTGGTAGGTTGAGGTGAAGTGGAAAGGGCCAGACGAGCCCCAACCCTGCTTGTTGTCGGAACCCTTCTTGTGCCATCCGATGAGGTGGGTGACGTTCTCGATAAGTCTGATGGGCGTGGCAGCCACGGCAGCGGCCAAGACAACGGGAGCCAATGAGAACTTCATTTTGTTGGTTTGAGAGTGCTGTAGGAGTCGAGATTGTGATGGTAGTGATGACTTCTGAGTAGATGGACTGAGGAATGATGCCTTGATGCTAAACACCTCCTATTTAGAAGCGTGGAAGTCTTACTCTATATACTCATTTTTTCAACAGCACGACGAGTGCCCAATATCTCGGATACACTCATTTCCGTGCAATTCCTCACTCTCACTACGCCCGACACGCGCCGACAATCACAGATGATGTGTTCAGTAAGCCAAGCACCGCCGGCATGATCGCCTCTCCCGGAGGCCGTCACGACCGCTGCCGTGGACTGGGAAACAACCGTGATGAATGAGCCAAGGGCCTGGTAACTGAGGCCGTCTGCTTGGAAGTCTCACCGGAGAAAGCTCGCGGCTTCTTGGCGACATTGCTGCTCTGATCCGGACGTAAAGCGCCTCGCAATGCTGAGATGCGTGTACGGTAATGACGCCGCCGATCAATTGGATCTTAGCAGCGGAAGCGACTCGACCCGGGCCCAGATGGCAGCAATTTTGTCTTGTCTAAGTTCAACTGGTAGCGCCAAATATTGAACAAGCTCCTTGGCGACGTCTTGGCTTTTCTTCCCAACGGCGTTCTCCAAGATGTGCCGAAGCCTTTTTGAATGTTATCGGTGACGTGCGTTTGTGTTCATCGCAAGGAATATTGCTAACTAAGCTCTTCTAAGTTGAAGATCGTGGCTTCATTCGATCACATCGCGGTGTATAGCCCAGCGGCTTTTTCTTTCGGGTGCTGGGCAAACACCGGAAAACGCGTCTTCCGATATGCAGCCTCATCTACTATAAGCAAATTGGACAAGTCTTTCTGGGCATTCGTGAGCAACATTTGTGTGGAATGTTTGGGGAAAGCAAAGCTCGGCGACAACGTACAACTAGAGGCGACACGGGCTTGGCATGGACTGCTAAGGCGGAGGAAATCAACCGAGGAATGAGCCACCATTAATTGTTTGAAATTGAACAAACCCAGGGCATCTTCTGATTTCGGAAACCTCAAACAACGATGGTCAACACACTGTTCCCAACTTATTCAATGGTCTTTACACATCATATCCTCAATTGGCAATATGCTTATTCGACTACTTGAAAACTCCGGCACAGATATATTCAGCAATTCACCAACAACCCTCTTAGCCACTTCCTATTACTTATCAGTATAAGTTAGTGGCCTAGAGCTTACAGATCTCCTCGGAGGTCTGGTTTTGAAAACCATCGTCGTTGGGCTTCAGATCATCACGATTCCCGGTTCAATAAGATTCGGCTCAGCCAATGGCCACGTGTATTCTCACATACCCACCGAAGCACAAGCTCTCAGAAACAGAGTATGAGGGCCTCCTAACCTGCTCGATGCTGACAGTGAGATCAATGCCATTATCCAGAATGCCTGTACGTTCAGGAAGCTCCACAGCGCGCAACGCTTCACGTCAAAGAAAAGGTAATGATGTGGCAATGACTTAAGGGGTATCTGATATTCTCTTACATCAACATCGCGCAACGTGCAACATCGATGCGTACTGCTGGCCATTCTGCCTGCTTGGCTGATGGCTTTCCCCCAAGTTCCTGCCTGAGTGATAACGCCATGTTTCCCAGATCCCATCGCAGGATAGAGATTTTTTATACTAAGAGCCTCGGAGCTCCCCAAAACACGCCTTGCTGTTGCATGTTCTTCATTATTTCCTTCGTCAGAACTGACCACGACTATCTGTTTCTCAGTCTCTTCTCAACCATCCTCGACCCCATCCATGTTGTACAGTCTCGGTCTGATTTTCGGATACCAGTGGTGCGGACCCTGAGGCGTTACTGGTCCCTTGCGACAAGTCTCCGCCATTAGAAATTCCCAGCCCCTGCGTCTGCATTGTGTTCGAGTCCGGCGAGAGCGGCGAAACAGCCGTGTCTAATGTGTTGCGGTTGGTGTCGGTCATGGGCGACATGTACGCCGGCGGGGGCGAACCGTTGGCCGTGGGATCGTAATTATGGGCGGGCAGTTCGCTGAGTTGTGTCGGCGGTTCCGGGTCCAGCTCGGCGATGTTCGGGTGGGTGTTCCGGGGAGCAACGGCCGCTGCCGGGTCGAGCTCCGAGATCGGTCTGGATTCGCCGCTGAGTTCCGACTTGTAGGCATACACGGAGTTCTCGGCCGGCCGGAGCTTCGTTCTCGCTGCTGCTGCTGCCATTCCTCCACCCGCAGCTCCCGCGGCTGCACCTCCGATCGCAGCAGCCGAATGCATTTGCGGCTGATCACCATTCATACCAGGGCCTGATCCCTCTGCCGACCTGTTGGCTCGATATCTCTGGAAGAACTTCCAACATATGAAGAGAATCAGGATCACAGCCAGCACGATACCGATCGCAAGTCCCGCCTTGGCCCCAGGATCCAATCCACCTCCGTCATCTGGGTTGGGGGTCGATGTGCTACTCGACGTTGAGGTACTCGTGGCACCTGTTGATGTTCTGCTCGCCGACCCGGCTGTGGTTGTTGCCGCAGTTGCTGATGCCGATGTTGATGCGGTCGTCGTTGGGACAGGCCCAGTTACATAGCAGTACCTGATCTGGTCGAAGATAGAGATGTATTGTGTGCAGCTGCTCTGAAGCTTCGTGATATCGTCTAGATCGTTACTGTACCACGAAGCCATTCGGCTTCTGAACGAAGAATAAGTGACTGTAAGCTCCGCACCCGAGAGCGTTGACGTGAAATCGCAGGCAGTCGCCGGCCATTGTTGCGATGTTGTAGGAGCATCATCCAAGATATCCTCCAAGTCCTCCAAACAGTCTGCTGCGTTCTGCCGCCGAATCTGTTGTGATCGGGCGCGGATGTTGGGCCGGGCAGCGACGGATGTAAGGAGGCCGGCCAGAAGCACTAGCGTGGAAACGCGTTCGGAGCGCATCGGGATGGATTCACGACCGAATTGGAGTCTGACGTGCTGGGATCAAAATCTCACTCGCCGGAGCGGGTTGAGAGAGAAGCGGAAGGCTCACTTTTGTGGTCGCGAAAAGCCAAGATCGAGGCTGATCACGCGGGGGAAAACAGGAGTCGCATCGTGGAGAGGACTACGCGGCCCTGCCAGTCTCTTCAACAAATTTCTACGTCAACGGCAGTCATCTTCTTCTGCGATGATCACACTCTTCCTGCAAAACTTTGCGCTATCACCTCCACCTTATCGTTCAAAATCCACCTCGCAATGGGTCTCTGATTGCTGGGCAGGGCTAATTATATAGAGGTGCATCTGCCAAGTCAGGGCGAACCAGGGAACGGACCAACAGCAATGGTTCGTCTCAATGGCCAAGCAACCCCAGCCCGGGATCTCAGCCACGGTGATTGCGCTGGACAGGGCTGTGTCGTGAAGTGATCATCACTCAACGTGTGGGTAGATGCGTTTCTTTGGGATTCGTCCAATTGGCGAACGCCTCCTCAATTTGAAACAAGCGACCAATCCATCTTTGGTATCTCGGCTGCTGTGGTTGGCTCTCCGGGATCTCTTGGGGAAGACTGCCGGCTCTGATCCGTAGACTTATCTCTGCCGGCCGGGTTGACAGCTCTGGCAGACGGGCGGGGTTCGGGAGTCTTACGAAGCTCAACCATGTCACGGAATGGCCTTCGACGAACCGCAAGCTCAGCGAAGAAGGTTCTGCCGGAGATAGTTGCGCGGACACACACCATGGTGACGTCGCAACGGGTGGAGTGGTGTGACTGGGGCTTGGCAGAAGGAAAGAAATTCTTCTCAGGTCTTGGAGAGAAAAGGTTTCCAGTCGAGATGAATATCAGGGTCGCCGCGACTCATGACCAGCAGGGCGACATTTCCGCGAGTCGCCGCCATCGCTCTCCACGAAATCAGCCTCAAGTCCGGAGACGGCGGCGGCGGAGGTGGACCGCCCAGGCACACACGAATCCGCCTGTTTCCGCTAAGGTAGTGGAGAATACTAAGAGCCACGAGGGTCAATTAAGCTCAAATCAACCTCGTGTCGATATTCAGGTGCTATTGGAAACATCTTTGTGTGTTCAACCGAAGCTAGGAGATCTAGATGGTATCAAATGCTAGAGGACAAATTGGAAAAAAGACAAAAGAAAGACTGGCAAGAAACACGGAACCGTCACCGCGTCAGTATGCAACTCCCAACACCCTGGTCGCCATGAGCCCCATATCGCCTCCTACACGGCCACAACTTCGTAGGCTCACCGCCCAGCAAGACCACTCACGCACTTCATTCGTTGATGCGATGCTGCCAGACTTCCTGTTCGGCCCTGGCGCTGTATGTACTTGCGCCCAGAATGTCCCTCATTTGCTCAACACCGGTGAACATAACTTGGCGAGCCACGAACCAGCGGATACCCTCATGGCACGGTGGGCTCGTGAGACTGCCTTGGTAGGTCCAGAATTCGTTGAAGAAAAGGACGCTGTCGAGGGCCGGCATCAAGTCTATCTCGATCTGTTGCTGAATTCCGACGTCGTTGAAGCCGATCATCCGAGGAAGCTGGTTGAAGAAGGTGTTATTGGCGTTGCCGGGATCGAGCCGAATAGCCAGCACAGCCTTCTCATGGCCTTCTTTGTCCACGTGTACGAGGTGAAGTTCCGCCTTGGATCGATCACCGTTGACCGAATGATCAGCGGGCGAATGGATGTGCCAACCAGCCAGATAGACGGTCATGTCGTCGTACGTGAACGACGGGTTACCAGTGTACTCGCCCTCGGGATGCGTGACAGTGAAGGCTGGACCGTAGTTCCAGTTGTAAAAGTTACCGGCCGTTTTGTTTGGGTAATTGAACCTGATGATATGGTTCAACGACAGTCCATGGTTAAACGACAGGGCGATGGGTGATTGCTGTGTGCCGGTTTGGCAAAGACTGTAGTCTGCTACCGTGTTAGGATACTCGAAAGTTACACGAAAAACAAAGTGCCACCCTCGATCTCATTGACTTACTCGAGTTGATTCGACCCCAGTTGAAAGAAGCTTCATACGCCCAGTCTGCTGCCTTGGGTGGTGTGGGATTCTCGTCGCGCTTGAATGTGCCCATTGCATGATAGTTCTCGTGACCAGCGCATGCTCCAGCTCCAAATGCCAAAAGCAACGCGCCGAGTACCGATGATAAGACTCGCATTATGACAGTCAGGGAAGACGAACCGATTTTGAGCTAAGGGTAAAGAAGGTTGTTCTCGGGGAAAGGAAGGTTTGGTGCCTGTACAAATCTCATGGGGGTTCAAGCAGGTCTTATAGACTTCTTACTTGCCTATGTCCACGGATGCCCATTGCTACGAAGGTTACTTCCTGTCGGAGCATCCCACACCAACAGTATGTACAGACGAGACCACGATCCATCACGCATTGCTAAAATGTCGTTCACGTCAGCAGGCCAAGCAAAGCTAGCAAAGCAAAAAGCAAGGGGAGCATAGCCATCGTCAGATTTTGAACCCTTGACCGGTGTGTTTTCCGTGATGCTTGGCGCAGGAATGCGGATCTAGGCCATGGATTTTGGACGGCGTCCACCAGCAACAGACTAGACACTGGTATCTTGAGAAGTTCTGAAAGTATGCCGATGCTGTCTACCGCGAACCCCTCTTCATACGGGTATTAACTCAGTTTTGCTAACATCATTTAAACTTTCGCTCGCCATTAGTGAGCCAAAAGCCCGGATCAAAGATGAGATGGAAGCACCAAATGACAGGACGCGACAGGAATTCTGGTTGGACCTTCCATGCAACCGCCGCCTCTGCCGACCGCCGGATGTATTAAACGCTGCACCCTTCCTTGGCCTTCGGTCCGTCGAAGTAGCTTCGTGTGGCTTGGCTGACGCCTCGTCGAACGGCGTTGAGTTTCCCCCAAGACTTTGGCGCGGGGAAGTCTGTCCCATTGGCCGTGATGCTAGGGCGAACCCTGACACCAGCCTTCGAGATAAGTTTATGGTCTGTGTGACCTCTAGCCACGGATTTACACGGACATTAAGGCACATGCAGGAACCACCGTCTGGCCTGGGCATGTGGCTGAGGTCTCAGTGCCTCCTCCTGGAGGAACCACCAGTTCATCGGTTTTTGTCTCTGCCGAGCCGCAGACCGCCTCGAAGGGCGTTGAGGTCTGGACTGGTACGAAATCTTGGTCAATATCTGATTGTGTGTTTATTCGTGGACATTTGTCATATCCAAGAGGCTACTGTGCGATGACCGTGAATGCAAGACATTAGAAAATTTCAAACTGAGACATTTGAGGGGAAAGCCGGTGGAAAGAAGACCGGGGAGTTGTAAGTGTTTCTCACAGCTTCGATTCCGGCATTTGAAAACGATGACTAGGCAGATGAATGGCCAAGTCGTTAAATTGATATCATTAAAACTATCTTAACGTAAACAGAGCTAAGATGGACGGTGTTTTCACACTGACAATCTTTACAAATGTCGTTACGAGAGGTCTTGACGGCTCTGAAAGCAATGAAGATTACTATCCAAAGATAAGAAAGAAAGTTGAACACTGTTAAATCAACAGACGACTTGAAATTTTACTCTATTCACTCTCTATTTACGATGCTGTTCGACGCCTGAGAAGATGCGCCTTTCTTCAATGCTGAGAGGCTAAATGCAGCATCTGGATGGTACCTCGTCGGTATTCGCAGTACGCAAGCGACAAAAGCATGACGAGCTGATCACAATATCAGCACCAGCCTCCGCAACTGCCAATTGCTTCTTGATGAGGCTGGCCTCAGCCTTTCGTCCCAGACGGAGAAGGCACTCATGGTAGCCGTGGAGAGCCCAGACATTGTTCGGATGCTGGTGCGCTCCGGCCAGGTTTTCATTCAGCCCAAGATCCTCCGCGTACACCGCCGCCGCTTCCTCAACACGACCTTGCTCAAGGAGAAGCGCTGCATAAGGATGGCGGGTTGGCATCATCCACGCCCAGGGCTCTGCATAGATCAAGGCATCGTCGAGCTCAATAGCGAGACGCAAGCTCTTGAATGCCACGTCAAAGTTTCCTCGTCTGTACTCGAGCTCGCCATCCAGCATGGCTGAGGCAATCTTGAGAAGCTTCACCACCTTGTTTGGGAAGATCAGTCGAGTTGGCGGGACTCGCTCCGCCGCTTCCCGGAACAGGTCTCTCTGGCGAATGGCGTTGTCGATGTCACCCGTTGCGGCATAAGCAACGCCCTTTCCGTAGAACGTCATTGCAATGGTGACGCAGTGCAGGTCCTTTTGGTTGGAAATCGGCAACGCTTTGAGTTCCTCCCATTTTCCGAAGCGAATAAGAGCATGAACGCGAACTGATTTGAAGAATTCCAGCCAGTCCACCATTGGCGGAGACTTCATTAGGAGCATCTCGTCCGTGATTGTTGCCTCCATTCTTGATACTGCTTCCAAGGCTGCCTCGGACTGCCCAGCCAGCATTGCAGCATATATCAAAGAATGGTAGTTGTGCATGCGGTAAAACGAGTAAAAGTTGTTACCACCGTTGATCGCGTAGTACTTGTCATCGGCAATCGATGCTTTCAAATTCGAATGAAGGGCACGGCGATAGTCTCCGATAAGAACGTCAATATGGCTTGGCATATGACACATGTGGCCTCCTTCTGGGACGAGATCTCGCAGGTAGTCGGCGGCTTTGGTGGCTCTTTCTGGCGTCTTGGACATCTCCACGAGGTGGATGTACATGTGCAGGATTCCTGGGTGGTACTTTGCCTCAGGCTTTGCCAACCCATTTTCGAGAATCTCCGACACTTCCAAGACCGGGGTCGCAAGATTCGGTTTGCCAGTGCGGGCCTCGTAAAGACCCCATGGAGCCGTATTCATCAACGCATCCGCTGAGAGGGTGATGATATCCAGGTCGTCCGTTCCAAAACGCTTGTAGACATTCCGCATAGCGTCGGCATAAGCTTGGACCGAGGGGGTAAATGAAGCTGGAATCTCATCTCTGCTGGGAAAGCGATGTTGTAGCGCTTCGATGAGGGCCTGTTCCACCGCAGTTGCGCTTGAAGAAAGCTCCTTAGCCTTGCGCGAGTAGTCGTAACACTTGCGGAGCGATTCTTGGAGATCGACATGGTCGAAAGCCTGCCAGACCTTGTTGTAGTTGGGGCCCGACGAGAACGCCACTCCCCAATGGGCTAGGGCGAAATCTTGGTCATGCAGCGTGGCTTGGGCGAAGCAAGCTGCGGCTTCGTTGTGATTGAAAGAGTAGACCCAGATAAGGCCTCTGTCGAACCATGTTTGGGCATCCTGGCTTTTGGTGCTGGTTGGCATCGAATGTTTACCGAGGTCGTAATAGGGTTCGCTGGCGGCGACCTTGCCGCGCTTCTCGAGGTTGAGAGGGGCCATCTGGTTGGAAGGGGAGATCACAGGCGAGAAACAGACCAAAAGAATCAGATCAGTCACAGATCAGGAAATGAACACGATCTTGATCTTACTGGACAAATGCAGCGGCTTGCAGAGGGTATGTATTTATGTGTTGCGAGCCTCATGAAGTACCAAGACGAGTTGATGAGGTATGCTGCATGCACGTGCACAATGCCTCGGATCGGTGACCGAGATTCCCCCAATTACATATTCTTTAGGTAAATAAAGTCATCCAAAGACATGCAATTCTTACGTCAACTGGATACACGAAAGTTTGAGATTGAATATGCTAGTGCGACCGCGACCGGAGCCGGCTATTGCCGTGCCCAACCGGCCCGACCGGGCCCCACCTCGGCAAACAAACAAGACGGCGTTCCGCCCCGAACCGCCGGCCGTCTCCCCGCCTATCCTCCGCCAGCCGACTTTAATAGACGCCGAGCGCTTCAATCATGCTGCTAAATATCTTTTACTACATGGCCGGGCTCTTGAACTCGGTCCAGATTTGTAATAGCGTTTCATTCGCCGTAGTTGTGTTTAACATATCCATTATTCGTAAATTGTCTAGTGTATCAAGTGTTTCTGACTGCAGACTGATGAACCTCGCTGTCTACAACGAACTGGGTCCTGATCATTTTGATGCAGTGTTCTGTACTCCCTAATACTCGTTCGCTGCTGTATTGGAAACATCTTGGTTCAGTCCGCTCATTCTCGCCCTCACTTCAACCGTTGGGCTTTACCCTCCTACCTATCGCTTGGCGTATTACTGAACGGCGATCATGACTCCTAATGTTTGCGGGGAGAAGAGCTGCGAGACAGAACGTCGCAATGAAGTCAACGAAAGCTTCTCCCAATCTGAGCACACACAAGCCGCCGCTGCCACTCAAGTCCCACCCGATGGTGGTTACGGATGGGTCGTCACCATCAGTGTCGCGCTGATAAACGGCCATTCCTGGGGGGTCAGCTCCGCATATGCAGTCTTCCTGGCTCACTTCCTCGAGAACGATATCTTTGAAAACGCCACCAAACTTCAATACGCTCTTGTTGGATCGCTCAGCGTAGGATGTACCTTACTGGTCTCTCCCCTCATCACCGTTGCGGTGCGAGAAGTTGGCACACGACCAGTCATGCTCTCTGGCGCAATCCTACAGTCTGCCGGCCTCGTCTGTGCAAGCCTCTCAACCAAAATTTGGCAGCTATTTCTCTCCTAAGGAGTGCTATTTGGCTTGGGCATGGGCATGCTCTTCGTACCATCGTATGGCCTTGTATCGCAATGGTTCGACAAGCGCCGGGCCCTTGCAAATGGCGTCGCCATCGCAGGTGCTGGTCTTGGTGGCTTCACATACTCCCTCAGCACGGGGGCAATGATCAGGAATCTCAGCCTCGAATGGGCGTATCGGGTTTTGTGCCTGGTTACGCTCGTTGTCAATGTTGTCTGCGTTCTGCTAATCAGAACCCGATACGCGGCCATCGACGCGCGACAGACTGCATTCGAGAAGTCTCTGCTGAAGAAACCCGAGTTTCTGATTATACTCGGATTCGGCTTCTTCAGCATGTTGGGCTATTTTGTGTTGATTTTCACACTCGCAAACTATGCAAACTTCATTGGCCTAGACTCGTCTAAGGCGTCATGGCTCCCTGCGATATTCATGCTCGGTCAAGCTGGAGGTCGGCCAGTTCTCGGATGGCTCAGTGATTCATTCGGACACATTCTCGTGGCATCAATCATGAGCTTATTGACTGGAGTTTTCGCACTAGCCATCTGGTCGAGTGCTAAATCCTTCGGCATCCTCATCTTCTTTTCTGTTCTTGAGGGCTGTGTGGCTGGAGTGTTCTGGGTGACGATTGCTCCGGTAATAGCCCAAGTAATTGGCTTGAAGAACCTCTCATCCGGCCTAAATATTCTATGGGTCACATTGGTTCTACCTTCGACATTTAGTGTACCGATCGCGTTGGAAATTGTCAGTGGAACGGGTAGTTACCTTGGAGCACAGGTTTTCACTGGGACTGCATTCATCGTGGCTTCTGTGTGCATGGCATGTCTCTACATCTGGCAAGTTCGACGAGGCAACATGCGTGTATTAGGATCGAGGTAACCAAATGACATATTGCTATTACAAAGGATTGGTCTCGGACTTTGAGGACTTCCACTTCAGGTCAAGCACTGTCCGTAGACGGAAATTTTAAGAGCACCCTGACATACAGCACTGTGATCATAGAGATAATCGGAGTTTGGCCGAGGCGAGGAAGCACGCCATAGCACGTACAACGCCCTGGTCATTGATGGCACCTACGCGCATCGCGTCATCGCCCACGGCATGCTAACGACTGGTTTGTAAGGATTGCGCCCCAGCAGTCAATGTTCCCAAAGAGGTTTCTCAAAGCAACCCAAGGTAATAACTGCATGCAAATGTCTTCGGTATCGGTTTGGAATCGGAAATAACTAGTGAATAACCCCGATTACAAGCTGCACGATTATCGGCATATTGACTCGTAGTAATCCATGTCCAATGTCGCAATGTCATCCAATGAAGACGCCACAGCTGTCTATTCCCATTCAGCCAGGAACGTACAGAATTAGGGTCGAAATGCCGAGACGTTATGCTGCATCCCGTAGTTAAGATCTCTTGGTTTCCTAGCCCTCCAAGGATAGAAGCGGTTCTTTCAACCTGACTGTGAAGAGTATTGGCGATATACGAGATGTCTCAGCCCTACGAGAAAGGCATCAATCACAGCTCAGTTTCTCGTGAGAGTAACAGCGAAGCTACTGTGAAGGCTGTTGGTCCCTACGAGAATGTCGTGGAGACGCCGGTATACGCAGAGTCCAAACGGACATGGAAGTCGTTTTTCTGGTCTAGTGAGTTTGTCTTGACACTTTTCGGAAACTTTCGAAGACGCTAATGCCAAAAAAGGCCTGGATGTTCCCGAGGAAGAAGCTCGATTCCTCACTAAACTTGACCTCACCCTGATTTCTTCATCTGCTCTGGGTGTTATGTGTCGTTACCTCGACCAAGTCAACATTACCAACGCATTCAGTACGTGGCATTGTCTGACAACTAACACGAACTCTACCCTAACGGCGTTTTACAGACAGCGGAATGAAGGAAGACCTGTCACTTTACGGGCGAGAACTCAATTACGCAAACGCTGTTTGGAGCGCCGCGTACGTGTTTGGGCAGATCCCATCCAACCTGATTCTGACACGAGTAAGATTGAACTCTCCACCGTTTCTCAGAAATCAATGTGATATTGACATCGTTGAGGTTAACGCTCCTCTTTATATCGCGTTCCTCGAGCTGGCGTGGACTGTCTTTACCTTCGCCACTGCTGGCGTCAAAGATGCCAACCAGCTCTACGTATTTCGCTTCTTGTGCGTTCCGGTCTTCATAACGCTATCAAGCTACATTTTCTAATCTTTTTGCAGCGTTGGACTTTTCGAAAGTGGCCACTTTCCGGGGGTGATGTATGTATGCTCAAGCTACTACAAGCCCCACGAACTAGCTCGACGCAACTCTTTGATTCAGGTATTCACATCAGTTGGGCCGCTCTTCTCGGGGTTTCTGATGGCGGCTGTTCACGCCGGATTGGACGGGGCAAACGGTCTTCCCGGTTGGCGGTGGATGTACATGTCAGTTGAGTCCCTGAATAGAGCGTGAAGTCTTATTTGAACGAAGTGACTGACAGGTCAGCAGCGTGTGCGGTTGCATCTCCCTTCCTTGTGCCATTTGGACGGCTTTTGCAATGCCTCAGCTCCCCGCCCGGGCAAAGGCAAACTGGTTCGTGGCAGACTCCGATCATGCTTTGGGCATAGCTAATGGACTCTTGCAGGATTTTCACCGAGAAAGAAGTCGAGCTGGCACGCGCCAGAATGCCCACCGAACAGAAGCCTTTCACTGGATTATTCAAGTGGAAAGATATCAAGCGTTGGCACACGACCTGGCAGGTTTATTTGTGTTGGTGGACCTATCCCAACCTCTCCATGATTGATTTGCTGACGGAATAGTCCCTCTATTCTTTGCATTCTTGACGCAAGTCGGACAATCAGGGGGTTCCAGTAGGCGTGCCCTCCCCCAAGTGCATCACTGTTCTTGGAAAGCTAATCCTCGAAGTGATCTTCTGGGTCAAAAGCTACAACGAGCCCGGAAAGCCTGCCGTTTTCTCAGTTGCGGAGATCAACATCATCCCACTTGGAGTAAGTGCTCAACTGTTGGTGAACGCAGTTCAACAGGCTGACACATCACCAAGATTAATGTCATCACAATCGTATGCACTCTCATAAACTCATGGGTTTCCGACAGTCTTCCTGGATCGGCTAGATGGCCCGGCATGATGTTCGCAAGTGTCATGGCTATAATCTTCCCTATCGCCCTTGCCGCAACTCCTGTCCATCCCCCAAACATTGGGACTCGTTGGACACTCTATTGTAAGCTTGTCTTCGCCCGAGAGCATATCACTCATACCGACTTTCGTGGTAGATCTCACAGCACTTTCGGGAACTTGTGCCGGACTTACCTGGACATGGGTCAATGAAGCGAACAGAGACGACCCAGAGAAACGAGCGTACACTTCTGCACTGGTAAGTTGTTCTTCATACTTGATACGACCGTTACTTTCTGAATTAGTCAGCTAACCGGATGTCCCCTCTAGATGAATGCATTTGCTTTCATATTTACGGCTTGGGTACCCATCTTCACCTTTCCCGCCAATCTTCAGCCATACATTGTCACTGGAAACTACATCACAGCTGGGTTTGGAGCTGCTGCTGCTGCCACTACCCTTCTCATTCGGCACTTCTATAACCGAGACAACAAAGACAGAAAGGCAGGGGCTGTTTGATGAATGGATAGCATGGGCTATTCAATTTCAAGCTCTACCGAGATTCGGCATCTTCATGTGCACACTCATGTGTACGTGGAGATGATCTGCGCATCTATGCAGGTCTGGTTTGAGATATGGGTGCATGGATGCGCAATCGGCCGAGGAAATCAAGCATGTCTATGCTGCACATCTCCCACATACTGTGAAGCGTAAATTTGGATCTTGTCAAAATACTGCTTGAAATTTGTAGAATACGAGTAGAGGAGGTCGTCCACACACGGATAAGCGGAGAACATTCACAACATGAAACCCCCGTTGCTCAGACTACTCGGTTCCTGACCGTCGCATCCTTCTTTCTTCAAGTCCGTCATAAGAAATTCAACCTCTTTAGCTGCAAAGAACTGCTTGAAGTCAATCCGACATCGTCCCTTGGAAGCACCGTCAAGCTTCACGGTATCAACGTAGGCAGTGGCGCCAGAAGGGATGTCCCGCGACAGCCCAGCCGGGTCAAAACCCGTAACCTTCACGTTCACGGTTCCCATCAACTCGTTCTTGACAACGTATCCCGGCATGAAAGGCGACAAAATCAGCATCTCGCCAGAACCGGGAACGGGATAGAAGCCGAGAAGGTACCACGTGAGTAGGCTAGCCATGGCAGCATTGTCATCGTTACCAGGTAAGCCGCTGCGGGTCAAATTGAAGTTGTCGTAGACTATGCGGCGGACTTGTTGAATCGATTCTGCTGGTTTTCCAATATGATGGAACAACGAGGGTGTTTGGAAGCTGGGCTCATTGCCTGGAAGATAATATCCTGCATCGAAGAAGCGTCGCAGGCGGTCTTCGAAAGTCTTGTTGCCTCCCAGTAGACCAACCAGTCCTTTCACGTCGTGGGGTACGTAGAGGCTATATTCCCAGCTGGAGCTCTCGTAAATACCCCACGTGTTCGTAAACTGCAGGCTGCAGGGTCGGGAGGAGTTTGAATCGCGCGGAGAGCAGTCGATAGGCTGGGAGGGTGCAAAAGTGCCATTCGCGAACCGCCGGGCCACGAAGTTAGAAAAGCCGTCCGACTTGAGATCGGGATTGAAGTTTTTGTTGTACGACAAGCTACGCTTGAACAGCTCGTCCGAGACAGACGCTGGCTGACCAACTGCCCGGGCTGCCATCCCGACTGTGAAGTCCCCAAAAGCATACTCGAGTCCACGGCTTGCTTCGCGCGTTCTCTGACCTCTTGAGTTGGTGTCCAAATAGTTGTAGGCAATGTAGCCAAGTTTGTTGTATGTTTCCGTACGACGGCCCTCAAAATCCCAATTCGGGGGCGTTTCGCTGACATCATGCTTCAATGCTTCCCAAAAGTCGTCAAGCTTAACCCCTAGCTTGTCCGCTTGACCAGCATACTTGACGATGAAGTCGGCCACTATGGGGACCCCGTTATTCCCTCCTTGAACCCATCCGCGGACGTTGTTTGCTCGGCACTCCGGCAGCCAGCCTTCCTTTCGGTAGCCGTCGACATATGTGTCCACAATTTGAGCCATCTCTCGCGGAGATGTTAGGGCAATCAGTGGGAACAGAGTCCGGTACGTGTCCCAAGAACAATAGAGTCCGTCAAAGTAAGGATGCGGTGAGTCTGTAAAAGGAGGTGGTGCATTACCGGTGGCATTATTAGGCGACAAGAAGGTGCGGTAGAAAGACGTATAGAATAGTTTCCGGATTGTATCATTCGTGCCTTCGGATAGCGTGATGCGACCCAGCTTTTCTTCCCACAACGCATTATTTGCCATGACCACGTTGTCGAAGTTAGGCTCTGGGATTTCTCGCTCCATGTTCTTGCACGCAAGATCTGGTGAGGTGTACGAGACGCCACGGCGCACAAGGATTGACTTCTGGTCTGGCTTGAAGCGAACAATGGCGCCGGCCTGTAATGGTTGTTCTAGTTCTGAAACCGGCGAGAGCTTCCAACTGTCCACGTCGGAACGGAGGGTGTTCAGGTCGTTTGTATTCCCTCCGAAGAATGCGCGGTCTGTAATGGAGCCGGCTACGGCCAGGTCGACACATTGAAAGGCTGTGTAAGTGAACTGACCGGGACCGAAGCTGCTACGAAATGTTCCATTCATGATCACTCGCTGTGCGCCCCAATCAGCACGCATTTCTCCGTAACGAAATGAGTGCTGTGAGTCGTCGGTCCAGTCCAAAACCAGTGTTGGTATCTCCCCTTCTGGAAAGGTATACCGCTCAAGTGATGCTGCTTGAGTAGACGCCAACTCGATCTTGACGCCATTGGCTAGCGGTGTACTGAAATAGCCTGGGAAGCCCGTATCGTTGTTTCCATCACCTGTCCGACGCTGAGATCGTGGTTGTTCTAGCGTGGGACACGCTGAGAAGTCTTTGCAGACGACGGGCATGATGCAGAAATTCCCATAGCTGCCCGCCGAGCTTCCAGTGCCAGAATCATGCAGCGGAGACACTCCGCGCGTCAACTCTGTCGATTCAGAAACATAGCCGGCTGGAGAATAGCCTGCGACTTGAATGGTCACCTTGGCCATGCCGAATGGTACTGAAGCCCCTGCGAAAACATTTCCTGGATCGCTGTTCTGCGCTGTGCCCGTGAAGATGTTGACATGTTGCGTCAAAGGGCCTGGCTTGAGGTCCGCACCCCAGACGCTGGATGCCACCAAAGCAATTTGAAGCAACTTCATAGCTGTTAGGAGATGTGATGAGAAAAGGGATTGACTGAATAGCAAAACTGCGGATTCATCGATTCTTGAGAGAAGATTGAGCGTCCGGTCTATGATCAGATGATTACATCCATGAAAGAAGGCTATTGGTCCAGGCCGGAAATTTCGGAGGATCATATCAAAGCGCAGCTCCCGAACTTGTTGACTCGAGTAAGAAGGGTTGGAACGCATCCTTGACTTAAGCTTCGCGAAATCATGCTTTAGCGGAAACCTTGATCGCCGAGCCTCCTCTACTTTCTTACTATTCATCGCATGACCCGTCCCCCTCAAGAAGGCGGGGTAATCTGGGAACGGTTTGTTTCATTTCCGTAGAACAAACCTTGAGCTGCCGCTCTAGTTACATAGAGAATAAGGTGTAGTTCCATGGTGCTCTGCAGATCGTCGCAAGCCATCGAATCAAAGTGTTGCATCTGGAAGGGTGCAGCTCAGTTCATTAAGATCGTAGCTGTTCTGTATACTCCGGCACATACGGATGAACTATCACTGGTCATTGGGTCGTAGATCGCCGTTCTCGATGATTTCAGACCACAACTTGGTTTTTGGGGTCTCAAAATAACGCAGAATAGCACACTATCTCCGCATGTCAAGACATGGAGGGTGCTGAATCAAGCGGCGGAACACATCCGCCCGAACCCTATATCAGCTTGAGAGCCGTGGGTTCCTTCACGGGCCAAATGAACAGCTTTACAACGAAGGGATGTTATGGTCCAGTCTTCGTTGGGTCGGACTTCAGCAAAATCTCAACAAATTGACCCCCACTTGCTGAAGCCAGACGCGTTCTGTAGGTCGTCTTCTCTAATACTCGGCCCTGTAGGCTCAAGATTATTGTGTGTTAAGGGCCTAGCGTTTGAAGATTTACCCCTTTCCTGTCGAAGTTAATTGGATCCCTGTTGAGATCCATGGAGGCCATTTGAGATGAACATAGCCATACGAAGAGCATTGCATAATTCAGAGACAGATAAAACAGATAATACTAGATAACAAATAAGGCCCAATACACATAAGACGTCAGCCGTGATAGAAGGCGACTATATGAGAGTTCCCCTCTTATACAACTCCGTGGTACAAGAAGGATCCGGGACTATGCCGTAATCCACTCCCATCTCTCCAATCATAGACGGAGTGTCGGCGCCAAATGGAGCAATTGCACCTGCTGCGATAGTATTTTTGGCCAGGGTGTTGAGAACCTGGTAGTTTAGGCCCTTGATGTCTGACAGCAAAGTCTGGAGGAAGTCGGCCAGTGGGTTGGAAATTGGCATCGAACCAAAGCCGGCGTGATTCGTCATGTAACATTCGACTTGTTCATACAACCAATCGAAGTCGTCTTGTCTCTCGGGGACCATGAAGACATGATCTTTGTCAAGGTGGGTTTGTTCCACCTTGAAGTCCAAACCACCCTTGCTGAAATACTGCTTGTTGTATTGGACGTTTCGTCGGCGAAGGCGTTGCGTGTTCTTGTCAGTATCTGGTCCAGGGCCGTATCCGATCCGGAAATTGGTGCGGTTGCCCTCCCCCCCGGTGACCGTAAAATGAAGATCCATGCCGTTCATGGTGGCTCCAAAAACTGGGTAGGTTGTATTCTCATCGTCCCTTTTGAAAACGTCTCCAATGCTGGTGCCATCCCAGTTGCCGATGTGGCGAACCTCTGAGCGCAAGGCCGAGGACATCTTTTCCTCGAGAAGCTCGAGATCGCGTTTGACGACGCCAGCACCATCGTTGAGGTAATACAGCCCAACTGCATTGACCTTTCCCCAGTATTCTTGCACCTTTATCCACCCGTCATGCAGAGTGAGACCGGCTCCCATTGCAGTCCCGATAGATCCGATGACACATTTCACACCTGAAGCGACTTTGTCTTCTTTCTCGGACATGTCCTTGCAGTCATCGACTAGACCCCAAAAGCCGAAGCCGAGCGTTGGTCCGGCCGCATAACGCGCAATGCGAAGCCCTACCCGGCCATATCTTCTGAACTGACTCTCCTGACGGTTCTGTAGTTCGGAGCCTGTCATTACATTAGATTTGAGACGTTCTGGGGCAATCAAGGTGCCAACTCACTGGCTGGATGAGTTTCGTTTGTGGACTCCGCTAAGTCGACTGTGGGAGCTACGGATGGAGAGTCTTGAACAGAGACAACTCTTGCCGTAGGAGCTTTGCCACCGGCCAGCGGAGGTTCGGTTTCGTTGTGATGGGTTGAAGTCACAACCGATTTGACTGGAGTGAAGTACGAAAAGACACCGAATATAATGATCAAGTTTCCGAGAAAGAAGAAAGTCCAGAGAAGTCGTCTATTCCGAGACCTCTGCCGGCAATGAGCGGACTCGTTGCCAGGCAGCTCGTTATAGCGGTAGTGTGCCTCTTTGGAATAGAACATCATGTCGTGTCGGTGAGAATCAGTTGAACTTGAAGCTTCAGCTGGGTTGTCTGTGGTTGCTGTTGGAATGATGATTGAATCACAACAACCTCGCGAGCAAACATCAAGATTTATACAATTTTCTGTTCTTCATTCCGTCAAGTTCAGCTTCTTAGACCTTCACTGATACGTGAGTATTTCCATAGCCGTGTCATCCGTCCAAGCATGGCTGGTGAGGCACGAGTATCGTCGTGCATATATCGCGGGGGCCATTTGGTCGTGAATATCAAGGAATCGGTCGGTCAGAACACCATCATTGTGTCAGCATTGCCCCAAAATCAACGTGGTACGTTGGTTCGATGAACTTCAGTTCGCCATGGTCGACTGTGGACGACAACGCCTCTAGACGCTTCAGCCTCGACAATGAATTGGCGCATGAGTATGCCCTCAGCCACGTGCCTGTGCCTGAGACTTACATCGCAGTAAAGCTGCGGAGGATTTGAATGTGCGTTGGCTGGGTCAGGTCACAGTATCTTGCATATTCTGAATGTCATTGATAGGCTGTTTGTATTCAACCGGCTACATTGGAGTTTACGCAAGGCATGATGCACTGGGGGCGAAGGGCACTTCGTGCAGCATTTCTTGATCTACCATCCATGTGATATATTCCGGTTTAAATCCGTCACATCTGCTGTAAGACGGCACATAGATAGACCTGGAATCAGAGAACGGTGAGCGGCAAGAATAACTCGTGGGGCTCTAGAACCAACCAACAGCAAAGATTCAACGCTACTGGTCAATAATACCTTTACAAAACAGCCAAGCCGGAGCTGATTAATGGCTCGTACGATGTGTTCGGTCTCGGCAGAATCCAACATACACCGCCCAGTTGGGGGCTGGGCGAGTTCATCTGTTTGCAAGGCCCCGGCATCCGAAATTAGAAGCACCGAAGTTCTTCGACCAACAGACCTCGAGAGTCTTTTGGTGTGAGGAGTTGACGTCCCAACTTTCATATCATCAGTCATTCACTTCACTCAACTCGTTTTCAATTTCTCGTCTTCAATATTGAGCGTACTCTGTCACTTTTACGCTGAAAAAGACCAGAAGACCATTTTCTTCCGGTCTAGAACCCTTCTCGGGCTATCCCCGACCTCTCATCCACGGACCTTGCCTCTATTACAAGACCATGTCCAGCAGAAACGCAAAGCCTTCGAGATCAGAAGATACAAGTGATCTAAAGCCAAAACGTACAGCTTTGGAGAGTCCCTATATTGAATTCTGACTGATCATCGTCTGTTAGTTAAACGACTTCCACCGCCAAGACTGTTCGTTTCGCAAGACGGCAACATCGAGTGGCAGAATCTCTACTTCCTTCTTTCACTCGCAGTGTCCCAAGGATTCTGCTTATGGTTCTTTTACAAACTCTCTCTGGCACACGAGCGTTGGGGTCAGCTTTCTTGGCCTGTGTGGGTGGGAACTGCGTCTGCTGCGGTGGTCACCGTTACCACAATATGCACATTCGGTATGCTTTCCCTAGCTGTATATAAGGGTGTCAAATTGTTCTGAACGGGCCTCGATGCGATGAACATGGGAACTCTTACTTTTCGTCGAAGGGTTCAATATTGGGGCTGTATAAATTCACCGTCACTCTGTAGGGTTTGCGCGGATAATGGGATCCGATGATCATTAGATATAGCTTGGCCCTATTGCTCACCACCAACTCACTTCAGTTCAATTCATCAACGGAACCCGTTCAGTCGTGGTGCAGGTGATATAAATGAAGTAATGTGTATCGTGCCGAGCCAATATGCCGCAACCTATGTATGCCCTAGTTCCCCTTTTGCCCAACCCATGAATAAAATGTCACATATGAATGCACGCTTTCATCATTCAACGCCTCTCGCACAGTCCCTATGAAATCGTGAATCTGAGCTTCGCTCATCCCTAAACTCGGAAACAGCTTTACTCCAGCTGCTCCGAGTAACCCTGCAAATACGTCGCGCATTTGCCTTCCCATATGCTGCTGCATCTGATCGCCTTCTTTCCAGGGTCCTATTGGTATTTTAAACAACCTGCGCTGGATATTTACGAACCCAATCTGCTGCATCAGGTCCCCTATCCTCGGTGCTATTTGGAGATCGCAACCTGCTCGTTGCATTGCTGCTTGCATCTGTGTCCAGAAATGAATAAGAGGACTATTTGCAGACAATGTTTCATCGTCGCAAAAGATATTTCCGCCGAAATCTTGGGTTTCGATCCAGCCTCCCGGTTTTAGGTGACTGACGACAAGTTAGCAGCGGACTTCATGTTGTGATGAGATCCAGCGAAGAGGAAAGACTGGACTGACTTGAATGATCTTTCTAATACAACGGGCGCGTCCGGTGTGAGAGGCAAGAAATCTCGAGCATGTATTAAGTCGAAATCTCTGCTTATCTGAGAAGCGCATGCAATGTTAGCATCTCAAGAGGGGACATGTTCCCACTGTATTGTCTTACCGGATCTACCCATTCGTCTCCTACATCATCAATAAGAAAGTCTACATTGCTTGGTATCCTGTGGCTGGTTAGCTCATGTCCATAAAATGACGGATGTATCTACTGACATGTCTGGCTGAATGGGAGATAGATCAACGCCGACTACTTGGGCCCCCGGGTGGGCGTCCGCAACTACAGATTGAGAATAGAGATCAGTTCCCGATAACAGATCATCAGTCCAGAGTCCTATTCACCATCGATGGCCCATGTTCCTACGAGTAAAAGTCAGTGAAACTGCAATCGTTCGTGTGCAATAATTCTTACCCACGCCCGTCCCAAGATCGAGGATTCTCTGTGGACGGTCTCCGATCGGCGCAACAAATAATCGACCTTCAATCAATAGCGAAATCAAATCGTGCTTGACGATTTCTCTCTCTTGCTCGATGTGGTCATTAGGCAACAGGTATTTTCCGTCGCGGTATCGGTGATATCTTCGCATCCGTGAGATTGAGATCCAAAGCGGGAATGGGCGGTGAGGCAGAAATCCGCGAAAAGGGGTCAAGCGTACCGTCTACCGCCGAAGTAAACATGATTCTTGATCGACGAAGTCATCGATTTCCATCCGTCGGGCTCCTCGCTGAACAGAAGAGAGTCGTCATCGTCGCCGATGGCTTCGTCGTCGGCTGGTGAGCCATTTCCAGAGAGGTGGCGTGGCGAGTATCTCGGGCTGAGAGAAGCGGACATGGACACGGACATGCTTCGAACGCTGGCGCGGTCTATCCGTAGAGAGGCGACATGGACATGAAGGAGCTAGGGCTGGAGGAGTTGACGGAAGTTGGGGCGGTGGATCTTTCTAGAGTGCGGGCAGATGCGACGAGGCAAGGCAGGCAAGCTTTCATCATGTCGGGAGGACGGGACGCGCCGAGCCCTGCTAAGCGCCTTCGGGCCCAACAAGAGAGTGTCACGCGACTGCGGTTCTGATTGGTTTGTTCATTTATTTGATGGGGCACACAGCCCACTCGCCTCCTCACTCCCTTGCTGAGGTCGCATATTAATGTAGGCAGTGTTGGTTGGTGGTGTGAGCCAACGGCGCGTTATCTGAAAAATTCCATCTTTGGGACTTATGTTGCCATCAGGAGCAGCAAAACACTGCGAATGTGGGGGTGATTGAGGATTTTGACAGCTCTTCCGCATCAATGGAATGCTCAGACGCCCAATAATGAGTCATGAGTCCGATTCATCATTCCATGCCGTTGCTGAAAAGTGGCAAGAGCTCATGCCTTGGTCGTATTAAAGTTCACTTGACATTCCAACAGTTGGTGATTGACTTTGGAGGAAGGCCAGGCAACAAGCAATGTGAGCGCGCGCCCTCGGCAGATCCGGAGCCGGAACCCGCCCCGAAACCCGACAATGTGGGGTCGTTCCGGAGTTTCCGACCGGCCTGCGCCGATGATCCGGAGACTCTTTTACAGCATTGGGAATCTCTCCGGCCGACTAGAACTCGGGCGTCGGACGAAATTTTGCTTCTTTTGCGGCGATTTGGATCCCATGCGGACTTGACACATGTCGAATTGAGCTAAAATGCACCCCTGCACTCTTCCTACGGCACAGTTACGCGCCATTGACGGATAAAGCCCTTACTGCTGGACTTCCCCGAGCTCGCCCAATAGCCTCCAGTGGCGCAGTTTTGGCGAAATTGCTCAACATCAATCCGTCAGCAGAATCAGTTGTGAATTGCTTGGCATCCGGCCCTTTTCGTTCGTTGAACAGCATAGACCGACACACATCAACGCCGGCAGAACGATCTACCACTGCTATCGGGCGGCAGCACAGCCTGGAGTTGCACAATTAAACCAATCACTGATGTTTCCAACCAGGCAGAAACGGGCGAAGCATGAGGCCTCCATCCCGCCCCGGGCGGAAGCATTCTCGCTCACAAAGGTCTTCACAGCTGGCGAGCGTGTCTCGTTCATGGCGCAGATTCTCTTGCAAAACAACAAGAGATATAACTCTGTGCGGTTTGGCCATGGATAATACGAGGCCACGCGTCAACGCCTCAAAGTATTAGCTTGTTTGAAGACGTACCTCAGCCTTGTGAAACGATGCTTTCGAAGACGTTCATGCTAGTTGTTGCGGCCGTCGGCCTCGTCAGCACAGCTGTGGCTCAGTCGCCGACCAAGACGGAGAAGACGACGGTCTGGTTGCCGCCGCAATCCACTGGCGCCCGCGAGAGCATCTACGCCTCCGTCATTACGGCGGCTCCGTCGTCAACCGAATACCTGTTGGCATGCACGACCAATTTCCGGTCTGCGTCGTCCTGCTCGCATTTCAACGGCGTGACGCTCACGTACGGCAACCAGACCATGAAGGTTGCCTTCAGGTGGGGTTCCTCGGCGATCCTGTGAGACATAGAATTTGAACTGACATGCGAGTGAAGGACCAACACATTCGACTGCAAGCGCGGCTCAGCCGCCACGTGCTCTGTCCGATCTGCCAACAACGCAGCCGCCGAGTCCGTCATTTCAGGCTCCGAGTCGGCGTCTTGGCTCACCGCGATCACCATCATTGACGGTCACAACAAGCTCAATGCTGCGAAGGCCACGACATCGTCCACTTCTACGACGCCTGCATCGGCGGCGACATCAGCCAGCGTCTGCAAGCGCGCGTCGAGGCCAAAGGGTGGCAGCGGTGATGGCGGTGACGGCTGTTCTCAAGCGACTGGTGGATTTGCCAATCTGCCAATGCTGATGGCAGGCCTTGCGACCGCCGTCGCTGTTGGAGTGGCAGCCTTTCTGTGATGTGAGAAAAGGCCAAGAGAAATGAACGGATATAAGAAAAATAGTGAGAAAAAAGAATCCAGGTCATTTCACACTATATCTAATCACATGAGCACATTGTGTTCTATTCCCACAAAAAGAAAATTTTTTTTAGCTAAAGTGTGGTCCTACTTGCTTTTATATACCTATTAACTACCCCCTTAATACTCCCCTACCCCTACCCCTCTATAGCTACTTAATAGCCTTATAAATATTATTCTAAAACTTAATAAACTTAATATACTTTTAGAGCTTAAGAGATAGAATATAAGCTAACTTTAGCTTTCTTAATATTTTAAAGTACTTTTTATACTTTTAAATATTATATATAAAGTATTAATATTTAGTAACTTTAAGAAGTACTTTAAAGATAAAGATTAAAACCTTTATTATAAAGGGATAAGTAGCTTAAGTACTAATTAGGCTTAGCCCTACTTATACCTATAAAGTAAAAAGGGGCTTAAGGGCTAAAAAAGTATAGATATTATTACTTCTTTACCCTATAGAAATAATCTTTTTAAAATTTATAAATATCTTTATAAACTTTATTTATATCTTTACTATTTTTACTATATAGATCTATAAATCACTTTATAGATTTTATAAATATTTTTATTTCTTTTTTTAACTTTATTTAGGTAGTTAAGTTATTTTTTCTCTTATTTATTAGGCTCTTTAGCTTATTATTATTTTAATAATACTTAAAGATAGATCTAACTCTTTTTTTAGCTTATAATAGGCTTTATAGGGAGTAAGATACTTTTTAGCTATTAAATAAATTACCTTTAATATATATATATAAAAATATATATATAAATCTAAAAAGAATAGCTAAAATTTAATAAGGATATTAATAAGAGGAAAATATATAATAAAATAAATAGAAATAAAAAATAAGAGTTATTTATAGATTTATATTTATATTAATAGGATTATAGTAGCTATATAATCTTTCTTTTATAAAGTAAGAATATTATTAACTCTAAAAACCTTTTTAGCTCTTCTTTAATTTAGTAGCTAGCTTATTAAATTAATAATATATTAGCTTTCATAAAAACTATAATTTATATATAATTTATAGACCTAATAGAATAAGATTTATAATATATTATAATATTTTAAAAAACTATTATTTAAGAAAAGAGATAGAGGTAATTTAGCTAACTTAATAAATAAAGCTAAATTAACTTAATTAAAAAAAGCTTAATAAACCCTTAAAGATAATATAAAATATTAAGAGTAATAAGTTATTATCTTTTTAAGATATAAATAATAAGCTATTATTTTTCTATTTAAAATAGGATTTCTTTTTAAATTAAAATTATAAATAAAATAATATATACTTTAGAGAGAAGTATTTTTTCTCTTCTCTTTTCTTTAAAATATAAAAATAATCTATTTATATTTTTTTTCCCTTATATAAGTTATAAATATTAAAATTAATATTTAAAATAATATAACTATATAGAAACTAATATCTATTCTTATTATTAGAAAGCTATATTAATAATATTATTTATATTCTCTTTACTTAATTTATAGACCTACTTTAATATATCTTCTTTTTAATTTAATAATTAAGATATAAGATTTATTTTCTAGCTTAATAAGAGTAAAAGTATTAATTCTTTTTATATTAAGTCTTCTTTTATAACTAAATAAGCTTAAGCTTTTAGCTTTAGCCTTTTTAGTAATCTTATAGACCCTCTAATTATATTAAGGCCTCTTACTTTAAGAACCTCTAAGAGAATAGCTTTTATCCTATTAATAAGAGAAATACTTAATATACTTAATAAGATAACCTATTTATTTATTTATTTTAAAACTATTTCTCTAAAGCTAATTTAAATAACTCTTAACTTTAATACTACCTCTAGAATAACTAAATAAGCTATTAGCTTTAATTCTATTATAAAATTAAAAGTTTTTATTTTAAATAACTATATCTAAATAATAAGAGTATTTATTAAGTACTTATTAATTATATCTATAACCCTTTAGTCTATAGGTACTTTATAATTTATAAGCCTAAATATTCCTAACTTTCTTAAAGAGTATAAAGAAATATTAATTTTATTTTATAAAGCTTATTAAGATATAATCTATAAAGTTTATATATATATTATTTTAAATCTTAAGAAGATTATAAAATTATATATTAAAAATAAAACCTCTTAAAGAGCTATAAAGTATAAACTTCTTAAGATATTTAGATTAATAGACCTAAAGACTTATTAAGACCTTAATAAGAAGCTTAAAAGATTTATAGAGAGTAATTATATTTAAAATAATAATTTAATAAATATAACTAACTTATTCTTAATAATTTATACTTTTTAATAGAGAGCTTTTTCTAAAAGTAATACTAAACTTCTTAATTTAAAGCTTATTTAAATTATTTTTTATAGATTGATTAAATAAGCTATAAAAGTAGTTATAAAGATCTTAAATAGATAAGTAACTAATTTATTTTATATATTATAGAGTAAAATAGAGAGAGCTTTTATTATTTAGTTTAAAAACTAGCTTCTTATTAAATAACTTTTTAGAGATATCCCTTTTAAATTTATAATATTTATTACTCTCTTAATTATAGTTAGCTTTATAGTCTAAATAAATAATAACTTATTCTTTAAATAGAGATATATAAATAATATTACTATAGAGATAACTATAAACTTCTAGAACTTAAGTATTAATAATATAATACTTATAGATATCTATTTAAGAGTAATTAAAAAGGCTATAAGAGAGACTATTAATATAACTTTTTTTAAAATAAGAGCTATTAACTATATAGCTTAATAATAATAATAATTATCTTCTTATTAAAATTTATAAATCTATAGTAATAACCCCTATATTAAAGGACTACCTTATAGAAGAGGAGAGAGAGATTAAAGTAATTAGAGTAGTTTTATAAATTAAAGTAATAAAGCTTATTATTAAAAGTTTTAAGTTAATAATTACTATTAGTTTTATAGTAATATAAACTATATAACTATAAGCTATAAGACTTTTATTTAATTTAGCTAGAGGGGTATTTATTATTACCTCTTATTTTATTACTACTTTAGTTTTATTATTAATAAGCTTAAATATAAAATAGAGGTTAATATTATTAATAATAAGAGAGATAAAAAATAAATTAATAGTTTTATAATTACTTATTATATTTTAATAAATAAAGTAGCTTATTTTATATTCTTTATAGCTACTAATAAGATTAAAATAAAAAACTAAGCTTATTTAAGAGAGTATATAGAAGATATCTATAACTATAACTATACTTAGGGATATTATAACCTACCTTAATAAGCTATACTTTAGAGAGCTTAATTAATACTATAGACTAAATATTTATAGACTTAATTAATATAGGTATTCTAATTAGTACCTTAAAAACCTACTATAATATTAAGATTAATTATAATTATAAAAAATTTAAACTTTATAAATAACTACTATATTTTATCTATAGTATATAAAAAAAAGAATAATATACCCTTTATTTTAAAGTATATAAGAGTAATTAAAAAGATAAAGCTATTTAATTAAAAAGCTAAGCTATATAATATAAAAGCTTAAAAGAATTAATAATTTATAAATTAACTTAATAGACCTCCTCTAGAGATTATTATTATAAATAGAGTTATTAAACTTATAGATAAAGATATCTAACTTAATATAGATACTCCTAATATATTTATAGTATAGCCCTCTATAAAGGATCTAATAGCTAAAATAGTACCTCTCTAATTTATAGCTAATAAGAGCTAAGTACTAGCTTTAGAACTATATAATAAAAAGGCTAATACTAAGGTATTAGTCTTTAAGGACTTTTTATATTAAGTATAGCTTAACTATATAAATACTTATTATAAATATATAAAGGGTATTATAGACTTATATAAAGCTAATATTAATATAAAGAAGAAAGAAGTTTATTTAGCTACTAAAAAAGACTTCTTATAGTACTTTAATAAAATAGGAATAAATAAGGCTACTCTATAAGAATAAATAGAGAGATAGAATAAAAAGAATAAAATACCCTTAAGGAGTAAGAGAATAATAATAGTAATATTTATTTTAAAAACCTATTTAATTAATATAAAGGACTTTATAACTAACTTAATTAATATAATATTTAATTTATAGACCTAAAAAGAGGATAATACTATAAGTTCTATTAATTTTAAAGTTAATATTATTAATATTAACTTTAGTATTAATATAACTTAATATAGCTATAATAGTATCTTTATAATAGACTATTAATAGATTATAGTCTATAACTTTATTATTATATACTAATAGATAATAATAAGCTTTAAAAGCCTAAAAGCTATATCTATTTAAGAGATTATAAATAATAGCTTTATAATTAACTTTATTAATAAAAAATATATCTAAAAGATTAATATAAGAGGTAAAATAGTCTCTATATATCTCTATATTAAAGGTATTATAAATTATAATAAGGGAACTAAATTTATAAGTATAATTATAAATAATATTTAAATTAGAGGTTATTATATTCTAGATATTAGGTTTTTTATCTTTATAGCTAAAAGTTATAATAAGGACCTTATTTTTAGTATACTATTTATCCTTAAGATAAAACTATCTTTAGAGTATTCTTAAAACAAAATTATTAATACTCTTTAGTTTATAAATATTAAAATTAATATCTCTTTCTCTTTCTATATAGATAAATTAATAGCTTACTTTCTAAATATTATTATAGATATAAACTAATTTATTAGAACTTAAAAGGCTTAAATAACTCTTATAGTAGAGGGAAAATAGAGGCTATTATTATAATATTTAATATAGTAGCTAGCTTAGCTATTATAGGAGTTAATTAAGCTTTTAAGATAAAAAAGGAAAAAGAGATTAAGATAATACTAAAGAGTATTAAATAATATTATAATATTATAGCTCTCTATAAGTTCTTTAAGGATACTAATTAATAAACACTA